CAGTTGCCAGGTCAACCAGACAGATTATTCCACGTCCCAGCTCTCTCATCAATTCTCGGACCTCATGATACACTGGATCTATCATTATGCCCAGTCAGAGCACTGAAATATATCTACGACGTTCCAATCCGAGGCGACATAAACTCAAACTTTTATTCATCCCTCTATCGACAGCTACACAGACTGAAGTCTCATGTACAACTATCTCGATATGGATCAGGGCTGTCATACTACGTGCCTACAAGGCTGCAGGACTCGACCCTCCAAGAGCATCTAATCCACATGAAATTAGAGCGTTAGCTTCAACACTTGCTCTACACAGCAATTGCTCTTTGAATACCATCATGGAGGGCTGTTTCTGGAGATCTGATATGGTGTTTGCCAACCACTATCTGAGAGATATCACCACCGAGGACGTCTCAGGCATTCACCATTTCGGTCCAATGGTCCTCGCTCAGCAGTTGACAGTCCCTCGGAGAAGATAAGTCAATCTTACGAGATTTTTACTGCTTATTTCACAACAGTACTATATAGCTAATAACTCCATGAAGTTTATGCTATTATATATTTTAGCTTAAGTTCAATCACAATCTTAAGCTCAGTACTATGTTTATTAGATCATAATAATATCATTAGCTAACAACTCTATGAAGTTTATGCTATTATATTATCAAGCTTAAGTCTATATTAGTCTTAAGCATAGTATTCATGTTGTAAATACTTTATTTATGTTTATCATAATATATATATATTGTAGTAACCCATATATGGCAGCTGATAAGTTTAACAGCAGGAATTTATCAATTCAGTGCCTTTATGAAGTTCCCATAGGGGTTATTACAGTTATTACAGTTATCAAATCACTAATTATCTAAATCCAAAGTATTCTGTATTCCCACCTCCGTATCCGTAGGATTCTACAAGCAAAGAGCATGAGTCAGGATAAGGAAAAATATGTAATTTTCTGAATAAAATTGATATTTTATACTTATCCTGACTCATGAGGTAAGCCCTCCCATCCTCCCCACATAACACTTTGGATTTCCCTGAAAATTCAAGTGTTGGGCTTGCTATATAAGGAGTGAGTGAGGCATGTGGAGGGAAGTGGCGCCCTCGTTCCCGCGCAAGGGAGTGGGATGGAGATAACTCTTGGTGAGTGTTAATTAGTGATTTTACATTGAAGGGAGCTTCAATTGGGAGATACAAGTGTTCCACTGTGTTCGCAAGAAGAAGAAGACAAGCAAAAGAGCATGAGTCAGGATAAGTATAAAATATCAATTTTATTCAGAAAATTACATAATTCAGTCAGACTGTGCATCAATTTCACATTGTCATTTCTTACATGTCAGCTTTTATAAACATTATTGTGAAACCCCGAAACAGCTATATCGGCATGCAGCGGTCTGTAGATAGTTGAGTCTGGATACGAGAATCCAGTGGTGGGGGATAAGTCTACTTCTTTTCATGTTAAGCAAACACAGTGAAATTAAATGAATACTTTTGTGGTCCTATAGTTTTATTGTAAACTCTAAACAAAACATTCAGCCTACACAACCTGCATGGTAAAGTAGTTACCTTCTTGGCTGGTTTCTCATTCCTATTGTACAATGAAGTAATACCCTTTAAGTCCAATTTTGGTCAGGACCATCATGATCTGTTTGATTGGCATTTAGAAGTTGGTGACTAATAAGAAAGTAAGAAAGTTTATGGATAACAACTTCTTTATTATATATGATGCGACGTTTCGGTATGGATTCTTATACCGTTGTCAAGCAAGAGTGAAGTACTACAGCACAGAACAGACTTATATACATGAACAGGGATTAAGTAATAACAACATGTAGGACTGAATGAGGGGGATTAACAATAACAACAAGGCACGGTGGCAATAATGTAGTGACAATAGGAAGCCAATGGTGGTGGAGGTAAAAAACAAAATATACATGCTGATGAGATTAATTAACAATGATGGCTGAGGTGCTCTAATCTGTTGTTTTTATGAGATCATTGTATGCAGAAGGGATGAGATATCCCTGGTCTCTGTTGATTGAGGGTTTGTGTCTCCGGATTTTAACTGCTTCTGCAAGACCCCACCCAAGGCCAGACTGCTTGTGTGCTCCAGAGACACTGTGTTCTACAGTACCGCCCAACACCTAACGGAAATCCTTGCCCCACTCGGTAAAACAGCGGACTCCTACATCTCTGACTCAACGGATTTCTGTAACAAACTCCTCAAAATCACTGAAGCAGACCAGATCCTGAGTTACGATGTTGTGGACCTCTTCACAAGTGTCCCCATAGAAGAAACTCTCCAAATCCTCCGCCAGCGCATCTCTGAATTAGAAACCCCCCTTGACACCAACCTCGCCACTGACTCCATCATTGCCCTCACCTCTGCCTGCATCACCTCCACTTACTTCACCTGGGGAGACGACTACTATGAACAAATCCACGGCCTGCCAATGGGCTCCCCTCTGTCCCCAATACTCACAGAAATCTACATGACCTCCTTCGAACAGCAAGCACTCAGCACCTCAACCATCAAACCAACCTGCTGGTACAGGAAGGCCGATGACACGTTTGTCATCCTCCGGCAAGACCAAGACCCAGCAGCCCTCCTGCAACACCTCAACCAACAGCACCCCCGGGTCCAATTCACCTTAGAAACAGAATCCAGTGGTCAACTTCCTTTCTAGATGTCCTTGTAACCAGAACACCAGCCAACAAGATCCGCACCAGTGTCTATAGAAAGCCAACCCACTCCGACCAATACATTCATTTTGACTCCAACCACCCTTTGAGAACCAAAACTGGCATTATCTCCACCCTCACCAGACGAGCCATCAACCTTTCCTCCACCAGTCCCACTACAGAAATACAGCACCTCCGCCATGTTTTCACCAAGTTCAACCACTACCCGTCGAAACTAGTCGATAAAATTATCAGCACCACACTCCACCCAACAAGAAAACCGGCCTCCAACAAACCTGAACCAGCACCTATTCAGATCTCCTCCCTTCATAGGGAAAACCTCTCACCACATCAGCCGTCTCCTCAAGCGAGAAGCAGGCATCGAAACCTACTTTACCAGCTCTACACCACTAAAACCCTACTGAAAGCGAATGGCAGGAACACCTCTAAACGACAACATCAACCCAAAGGTGTTGTCTATAAAATCAACTGTGACTGTGGCGAGGCCTATGTAGGCTTAAACCTCCCGCCCATAAATATTAGAATCAAAGAACACTTATCATCTACCACTAAATCTGATAGAAAATCAGCAATATCAGACCACATCATCAACTGCCCCAATCACAACATAATTTGGGACAATGTGGAGATATTATCCAAAACCACCAGGACTTCAATTAAAAGGAAACTTGCAGAAGCAGTTAAAATCCGGAGACACAAACCCTCAATCAACAGAGACCAGGGATATCTCATCCCTTCTGCATACAATGATCTCATAAAAACAACAGATTAGAGCACCTCAGCCATCATTGTTAATTAATCTCATCAGCATGTATATTTTGTTTTTTACCTCCACCACCATTGGCTTCCTATTGTCACTACATTATTGCCACCGTGCCTTGTTGTTATTGTTAATCCCCCTCATTCAGTCCTACATGTTGTTATTACTTAATCCCTGTTCATGTATATAAGTCTGTTCTGTGCTGTAGTACTTCACTCTTGCTTGACAACGGTATAAGAATCCATACCGAAACGTTGCATCATATATAATAAAGAAGTTGTTATCCATAAACTTTCTTACTTTCTTATCAGGACCATCATGTCTTCTTGTGATCCAACATGATCAAGTTTTGTCGACTCCAAAGAATTAAACTCAGCCAATGGCTAAGGTGGACGGAAAAAAAGTCATAGGAAAAATAACTATTATAAAACATCCTGTTCTCCAGTTATTTACTTTGTTTTTACTGTATTTTATATATTTCACTTTTATCGTCAATAATAAAAACATCCTGTTCTCCAGTTATTTGTAAAAAACTAATTTCAACAACAACTGTTGTAAAAACATCCTGTCCTTCATTTACTTTGTTTATACTATTTCACTTTCAAGATAATTATTTTTTTCAGTGTGATGCTGTAAGCAATTGGATCTTATCAAAACAGGAGAAATGAATATTATTATTTGTTTAGTTCTTAAAGGATTATGGGATTAAAAGTCACAAGTCATATGATTGTTTGTTTAATTTGCTTTGAGCTTGACGATATCACACCGATTAATGAAATCATGGGATTATCAGTTAATGCTTTTACTCAAATGGCTTTCTACTAGCAGCTTGGCGGTGGGGTAGCCTAGTGGTTAAAGCGTTGGCTCGTCACACGCCGAAGACCCGGGTTCGATTCCCCACATGGGCACAATGTGTTAAGCCCATTTCTGGTGTCCCCCGCCGTGATATTGCTGGAATATTGCTAAAAGTGGCGTAAAACTAAACTCAGTCAGTCAGTCAGTCTTCTAGCAGCTAATATAAGACACGCTGGCCGTAAGACTCAAACTCTTCACGGCATTGGCTGGAACATTAGGTTAAATAAAATATGCTAGGACAACGGACTGATGTAGTGCTGTTGCAGATGATCGTGTTATGATGATAGTGCATTTTCTGATGTCATGTATTTTACTTGAATGATTACATTAATTTTATAAGTTAGGTTCAAATGTGGTAGTGCTGTTGATGATAATATTGTTATGACTTGTTAAATAAATACATTATCAATACTTACCTTTTTTGAGTTTATGACTTTTTTTCCTATGACTAACCCAAATCTGACTTGTTTCCATGACTTTTTTCCTATGACTTTTTTTCCTATCAGTTCGATAGGATCAGCTGACTCAACCAGTGTTTGTTGTGGCCTTAGGGTTACACTATCCAGGTAACAAAGAATGATTGTGGGCATCAGCCGAACTCTTAACACATTACCTAACAGGTGTAAATACACACTTTTCAAATGGATATTCATCATGTTCTTATTCATTACAGTTTCTACAACAAATATGTACAACCTTCAAGCTGGACTTACCATTCAGGCGCAAGTCATCTGCCTTTGGTGTGATGAAAGGTAAATATTGATTAAAGCTTAGATGCAACCAAAAAAATAAACATAGTTAAAACACAATTATCATTTATTCAAGATATATAATATACCTTGCTGATTAGGAAAAAACAAATATACAAAATTATAAGTGTACAATTGCAAATCAAAAGTGCAATATTTTGTACTTGGGTTTACATCCCTCGAAATAAAGCCCCCGGATACCGAACCCAGTCAGAGCGGGTGTGCACTTAAGTGTAACGAAGTCTTTCATTGGCTGGTTCATTTGCCTATACCCTCGGGGCTCTTTGTGTGTATAGAAAAGTTGGGTTTTGTAAATACATATTTTTCCTTATCCTGACTCATGCTCTTTTGCTTGTCTTCTTCTTCTTGCAAACATAGTGGAACACTTGTATCTCCTATTGAAGATCCCTTCAATAAAGAATAGACGTAAAATCACTCCTACCAAGAGTTATCTCTCCAGCCGTTTAGGCGGGAAACTGTGGTGCCACCGTGCCCACATGCCTCACTCTCTCCTTCTTCGCCCTGTGGGCAGGTTGTGAGAGCGCCTGTGTCTCCTATACGGCACTATATCCTTTAATTAATTAGTTATTCTCCTCTATTCTACTTTCATAGAGGTTTAGTTAGTATCCTACAACAATATGGTTGAATTATTAATCGTATTTAGCACTGTTTATTCACGGTATTGTCCGTATTTGTTCAGTTGTTTACATTTCATGATAACCTATTTTCGTTGTAGGTTTAGGTTAGCTGCTGCAGACCCGCGTTGATTGTGCCCTAGCTGCACAACAACATGTACTTCCACCTATAGCTGTAATCTTTATCAGCTTTTAATTGAAATTCAAATTAATAAATAAATTTTCTCCGTACTTAGACGTACTATCGACTATCCAGGTGACTTCCAAGTCATGGTTAAACTGGCTGAGTCCCTCATGAGCTGTCTACTGCTGTTAGACGACTTACTACCATCAAGTGACCTGCCGGAGGTGTCCTCGGAGGATGGGCGTGGGATGTTGTCCGCCATTACTTCGAAGACGGCTTCTACATCGGACAACCCCTCAACGCAGACGTAGAAGACGCCATCCTCTGCGCAGAATGAAGCCTCATCCCGATGCCAGTAAGAGGGGTTCATGATAAGCCATTGCTGATCATCCCAGAGATACAGCACGCAGTCCGAGGGCGACAGATGAGCGATCCCCGGACCATATCGCTATCAACGCAGAGAGGGCAGCTCTACAATCATCGCAGACGAGCAGACGCCATCGTCTACCCAGAGAAGGCTACACACCCCTTAGATGACGACAACTCTACGGGGACGTCTGCGCAGACTACAAGGACTTTCTCTGCCTAGATTGTTCCGTTGACGGTACAGGGACTCTCCGATGATCAACCGATCATCTTCCCAGAGGTTCATCACAAGTATCGACCAGTCAGCTACGGTGACTTCAGCGCAGATCTCCACGGTACCCGAGGTATCTACGATGACAACAGATGAGCGTCCTGTGGGCCACGTCGCTATCACCGCAGAAAGGGCAGCGCTACTACCACCGCAGACCTTCAAACGGGGGGGACCTTATGCAGGAGATGAACAGCGTTACGGCCTGGAGAAGAAGTCACAGCCCACAACGAGGTCCCGAGCCTTCGCGAAGGTTCCAACGCAGACGTCGTCTCTGAAGGACCCTCCATCAACTTGACATCTGGCAGCAGATCTACACTACAGGCCAGCCTTCGTGAAGGTCGACTCAACCATCCCCTACGGCGGACACGGACGATCAGCATTCACCAAGGAGGAATCGCCATCCCCGGATACAGAATCGGACCACCAGCGTTCGCGAAGGCGTTCACGAAGGACCAGTCGCCATCCCCCAGATGCGGAATCAGCGTTCGCGAAGGAGAATTCTTCCATCCCTGGATACAGAATCGGACCACCAGCGTTCGCGAAGGACCATTCTTCCATCCCCGGATACAGAATCGGACGACCAGCGTTCGCGAAGACGTTCACGAAGGACCAGTCGCCACTCCCCAAGTGCGGACTCAGATGAGCCTTACGAAGGACCAGTCGCCACTCCCCAAGTGCGGACTCAGATGATCCTTCACGAAGGCCTTCGCGAAGGACGTCAGCTACAGTATACAAGACATCATCGTCCTATAGATCGTCGAGGGATTCACCAGGACCTTCGCGAAACCCACAGGTCACCCTACAGGCACAGTTCGTCGGGCTATTCACCACGTCGATCTCCTCGCCGATTTCCACGCAGATCCCCACACAGGTCTCCGCGCACGTCTATGCGCAGGTCTCCATGAAGGTCTTCACACAGGTCGTCACACAGGTCTCCAGCGAAGCAGAGACATCGCAGTACTTCGTCTCTCTACTGTACGCCACATGCCGTCTACAAGCCTGCGCGAAGGCATTCGCGCAGGCCATCTACAACGCAGAAACGCCGCAGTACTTACATTCTCAACAGAACGCTACATGTCATCACCGAGCCTGCGCGAAGGCATTCGCACAGGCCATCCACAAGGCAGAGACGTCGCAGTACTTAACTTCTTAACAGAACGCTACTTATAGTCTACAGCTTGCGCGAAGGACGGCGCTATCTTCAGAGACTGTCAACAGATGAAGAGCCTAATAAAGGATCTTCAGGCCGACTACCTACATCAAGGGCATCAATGACGCTTCGTAGATCATCACGGGAATCACCATTTCCGTATATATTACCAGGTAGGCAATCCCGGACTACGAGACGATTATCTACATGCAAGGTGCCATACAGTCACACCAAGCCGACCACCACGCAGATCACTACGCAGATCGTCAAGGTTATTCAACTAGGACACGAAGTAGCGTCATCCTAGCGTCATGTCAGAATTCATCACTAGCTCGAATCTTCAGACGGAATCCAGGATGGGATTCACATAGATTGATATATCTACATTAGAAGATTCATGGCCTTATAGAGATCTTCATCTTTGTACAGATCTGCAGACATTCTCACTGGCGGAGTTCAACAGCAGCCTTGCTACAGCTAGGAAATTACATACTCGTCACCGATTCCCTGAGTAAAATTTACAACAAGTTCAGCATTAATTCTATAATTACGATGCTTCATTGATGTATGCAGTCTACAAGCTGACAACGTGAAAGTTCAATTGAGCCTATGTATAAGGACGACGGCATTATCTTCAAGACTGAAGTAAGAGTCACAGCAGCCAGGAAAACAGCCTACCCAGCATCGATATTACGTGGCGAAATATTCGCGCGTTTACCATTTAACCCTCGACACACGTGGTCACTCGTGTAACTTCGGAAAGCTACGAACAAGACCGACGATTGATCAGATATCAACGACGGCACTAGATTCTACAAGGATCTTTTTCCTGCTACACCGGTGACATCACAGCGCGGCTAGCCTAAAGAATCAAAATGCTTTGTTTTGATTGAACCACGAGGGACAACGCCCTGCGCAGAGGTCGGACGTAGTTCACAGATCAAGAAATGGGTTACAAGTGACAACAACATGTCAGTGAGCGAGCAACGCCTCCATAACAGTCCAGTTAGACTGGCCCTTCGTGATTTGGCTGCCTTCATGGGGTTAGAGACCTCCCGTGTCATCATTGAAGATGAGAGCTTGGCAGCCAGGCGATTTTTACATAGAGTTCTCAACGATAGCAGTCACAGAGTCGGCCATCGCTTCATTTCCTTACAGACACGGTAAGGGTGTCAAGATCGTAGGATATAGATACAAGTTCTTGTATCTCAAGCACTACTCTCTCCGCTTTTCACTCTGGGGCGGAATCTGTTGGTTTTCGTGACGCCAGCACAAGACATGACATGCAGAGAGAAATTACAACTACGCCCACTACTGGTCTTCATGAATGTACAACCGGACGATCCGGACAGGTTATAACCCATATCTACATATGGTGAACTCTGTGCGAGGAGGGTTGCAGACGCACCTAATTAGCGGGGTCGCAGTACAAGACGCATCTCTATGGGGACGCATCTCTCCAAGAGTGGGAGCACACCTTGACAACAATGTGTCAGCTGGGATATGGACCATAGCAGAGACGATCTGCACTTCCATATGCTGGAAATGAAAGCAGCGATAAACGCCATACTCCACCGGATCAGCTTTTTTATAAAATGCTCATCTAATGGTACACACAGTCACCTCCACAGTGACGGTCTACATCCACAGAAGGATCAACAAAGTTGGCGAACCTTCTGGACCTCTGCTTTCAGTTGATCAGCATAACAGTCAACCTGACTGTCCACAGCAGAGTATGCCACATTCCAAGAACCAAGAATGTGTTAGCAGATACACTATCCTGTCCAACGCAGCCATTCTCAACAGACTGGATGCTACATTCAGAAATCTTCAAACAGATCATATAAGAGATGGTTGAACCTTTAAGAGACCTCTTCCCCACAAGGGTCAACTGATAACATTCGTCTCACCAATACCAGATCCACGGACAGGGGCAACGGACATGCGAAGCATCTCCTGCCTAGGACTAAACACTTACATGTTTCTCCACCAGCTCTAATACCTAGGGTATTGCAGAAATCAGTCAGGCGAGAGACCCACAACTATTTGGGGCACGCCTTTTGACCAGCGAGAATATGAATTCCTATTCTCATACAAGACCTAGGACTGCCTCTACTGCATATACCAGAGTGTACGAATCTACTAGTACATCCTCACACAAAGCAGGGGCACGGCACCGCGGAGGTGTTCTGCCTACACGTGTGGACTGTATCAGGCATGCTTGAACAAGAGAGGATATTTCGCCAGAGCAGTGAAAGCAGTCACACTAGCTTTACGCAAGTCTTCACGCAACTTGTCTGACAACAAGTAGTGACGCTTCGAGACAAAAGATATGTTTCGAGGATCGGCTTCACAGCCATGAAAGTGACACATCCTCAAGTGGCGGACTACCTTTGTCACCTAGACAAAGGAAGCGGTTAAAAGGGTCAACACTCTCAACATACCTAGCGGCATTGA